ATGCGGGACTCGATCCCGGGACTCCAGGATCATGACCTGAGCCGAAGGCAGTCGCTTAACCGACTGAGCCACCCAGGCGCCCTAGAGTTACCATTTTAAAATTAAAACAACACACCTACCTTTGTTAGTACATTATCACTTCAGAAAAAGAAAAGAATAAGTGATAGAAGAAATAAGGCCTCTGTCATATCAAGCTTTTTTTTTTTTCTTTTCCCCTTTTTTTTGCCTGTAAGACTCCAGATAAGGTGGTACCTGTCTGGCTCAGTTGGTAGAGCATGCGACTTATGATCTGGCTGTAAATTTAAGTCCCACCTTGGGTATAGATTACCTAAAAAGTAAAATCTTAAAAAAAAAAAAAAAAGACTCCAAATAGGCTCCAGCTAATGAGTGGAGCTGTTTAGCTGGAACCAAAGACTTTATGACTGAGTGAAGGTCAGTATTTCATACTGCTCATGAAATTAACAAAAAAACGCAGTTTTGCTGCATGGGCCTTTGCATCAATTATGCCAGAAATACCTCGGGAGTTTGCTAAATATTCAGATTCCTGGATCCCACCCTAAAGTTCCTAAGTCAGAATTTCTGGGGGGGTTGTACCTAGGAATCTGCTATTTTAACAAGAATGCCAGACAGTATTTATGCTTATTAAAATGTGAGAACCACTGCCGAAGAGATTTCTTTTCTCTAGGCTAGTTGGATAATATAGATGCATCGTACAAGCATCAGTGCCTCAGACCCAAGGACTTTTTGTGACTTACTCCACAGGACTGACCACACTAAAGAACATTTAACATTGTGGCTAATAATTCCTGAGGCCTTGTAGCAAAGTACTCTGGGAAATCCAAGGAACTGTTATCCATTTCCTAAAAATGTATGTCATCACTAATGAATATATTTTAAATGTGAGTCCATTTCTAAGGTTACAAAAAAACCTACCGGTTGAAATAATAGCCTCTTCATCAGGTTGTATCAGTAAACAAGAAAGATGATTGTGTAGTGCTAATAGATGTCAACACGATAAAGATAGGGCAACATCGTTATTTATTTATTTGACATGGGGAGGGGAGGGAGAGAGAGAATCTTAAGCAGGCTCCACATCCAAAAGGGAGCCAGAGGTGGGGCTGATCTCAAGACCTAAGATCATGACCTGAGCCAAATTAAGAGTCCCATGCTTAAGCCACCCAGGCATCCCAGGGCAACATCTTTATATAAAGATAGCGCAATGTCTAATAACCGTGTGGAGAGTTCCACAAGCAAGTATTGAAACTTAATGAAAATTGTTTTAGGTCTGAACTCTGTTATGACAATACTTTGGAGTTCCGCTTTATCGCTAACATATAAATAAAAACTCCCTCAAATCAATGCCAAATGACGCCTATGCAATTTTTCAAGGGGTCGTTTTATGATAAATTAAACATACTTGGGGACTCGGAGGGTGGCTTTTCTTCTTCGAGAGTATAGGGTCTTCATCTTGAATGCCTAAGGCAGTGCTTGATAGTGCTAAGTTTTGAATGAATGAAATCAGCAAGCCATAGAAAAATTGCCTTTCGATTTGCTTACTGACTTGATTTACGGGAATTAACACATTTGTGCACAAAGGAGTAGTCAGACTTTGTCAACTATACTTTCAAATGCCTTTCACATCGGTTTCTCTTTCACAATTAGTTTCTACCTCCAGCCACAGCCATTTAAGCTTAGAGGGCGGACCCTCCTCCTGAAGAGGCGGAAAAGCCTGGGGCACGTGTCTCTGGGGCATAGTCACCTGCAGCTCCCTCTCCCCCGACCTCCCCCCCCACCCCGCTGTCGTAGGACCAGCCAGGGTGGCGGACGGGGCTGGCGGGTGCCCCTGCCCTTGTCCCTGCCCCGCTCCCAGCCCCTCACCTTTGAGGAGTTACACAGGAACCGCGTCTCATACTCCTCGTTCATGGTGATCACCCCGCGCACGTTCTCGTCCTGCACCAGCTGCCGAGGCAAAGAGGGGGCTCAGACAGGGCCGCCGAGGCGCGGGCGGCTCTCGCCGGCTCCCAGTCCCGCCGCGGCCGGGCCTCCCGGCCCGGCTCCCCCGCCGCGGCTCACCCGGCGCGTCATACTCCGCAGCGGCAGCGCACCCAGCACCACCGTGGGGTCGATGCGGTGGTACCAGTCGCGGTGCGCCCGGCCCGGCACTTTTCCGCGGAACACGGTGTACAGCAGCGTCGGGTAGAAGAGCACGCGGGCCAGGCCGGCCTCCAGCAACGCGCTGGCCGCCATCCCGCCCCACCCGGCCTGGCGCAGCCGCGACCTGCCCACGCCTAGACTCGAGGTCGTCGGCCGCGAGGAGAGCCCCGAGGGCGACGGGGACGAGGGCGGCGAGCCGCCCGCCGCCTCCCACGAAGGCGACGCGGTCGGCGCGGGCCCCTCGGGCGCCGAGACTTCGGGCCCGGCCTCCGGGCGCTCCGCGGAAGAGCCCGGGGCCCCTGGGCCCGGCTCCATGGCTCCGGAGGAGGGGCCGCCGGCCTGGGGGAGGGACCAGGGATTCCCCGGGCGGCAGGTGGGACCCGACCGTGGGAGGGCGCGTCCTGGGCCCGAGGCCTGCGAGTGTACCGGGTGTCAAACAGGGACCCCAGTCCGTGGCCGGCGGCCTCTCTCTCGGAGGGGGTTGGGACCCCAGGTGAGGGGGGCTCTGACCCCGCGTGTGGAAACGGGCCCCGGGCCGGGCCGAGGAAAAGCGGACCCTGGCCACTCTTCCCAGTCCCCGGCCAGAGGGAGGGGGCTGCGACCCAGGTGAGGGGGGGGACGCCACCAAAGGAAAGACCAGTCCAGGAAGAGACTCTGTGATAGGGGCAGCCCTGAAGGGGAGAGTTGAAGAAGGGGCTTTAAGCTTTTAGGCCGTGGGGGTTGGGGGGGGCTATCTTGGCAGAGAGAGCTAGAAGGGCACCTGGGTTGATACGGCCCTTCCTCCACCCTGCCCATCTGCTCCCTCCTCCTGCCCAAACCCCAGCATATGTGTGTGTGTGTGTGTAAAGAAACAATATATAAATATAATATCTAATTATGAAAATATATTAAAGTATTATAATAAGCTTAAATGTAAAAACCACACCCTACAGAGAGGTAAGAGCAAAGGTTGTGATGCTGCTTATTTACATTTAAGTGGAACATGCATCTGGTGCTATTTATTTATTTGCACCTGGTGCTTTTTTAAAAAAGGTTTCTTTTCTCCTTATAGAAGTAATACATATTTGGGGTGCCTGGCTGGCTCAGTGGGTGGAGCATGCAACTCTTTTTTTTTTTTTTTTAAGATTTTATTTATTTATTTGACAGAGAGAGACACAGCGAGAGAGGGAACACAAGCAGGGGGAGTGGGAGAGGGAGAAGCAGGCTTCCTGCTGAGCAGGGAGCCGGATGTGGGGCTCGATCCCAGGACTCTGGGATCATGACCTGAGCCGAAGGCAGACGCTTAACAACTGAGCCACCCAGGTGCCCCGAGCATGCAACTCTTGATCTTGGGGTTGTGAGTTCAAGCTCCACATTGGGGTTAGAGTTTACTTAAGAAAAAAAGTCATACATACTCATAACAATTGGAAAATACAGTGAAGTGATTTTTAATTACCCATAATTTCACCACCTCAGATACATTTTTTCCTCCAATTCCCTATGTGTACCACTAGAAAACTTTTGTAACAACTTTGAGATCTAACTCACATACCATACAGCTCACCCATTTAAAGTGTACAGTTCAATGGTTTTTATTCAGAGTTGTGCAGTCATCACAATTTTATTTTAGAAAAAGAGTGCAAGTGGGTGGAGGGGCAGGAGAGCAAATCTCCAGCAGACTCTGCCCTGAGCTCACATCTGGATGCGGGGCTCAATCTCATGACCCCGAGATCACCACCTGAGCCGAAATACTGTACCAAGAGTGGGATGCTTAACCAACTGAGCCACCCAGGCGCCCCACCACAAAGGATTTTAGAACATGTCATTCCCCCGCCCCAAAATCCCATATCCCCTTATCCCCCAGCCCTAGGCAACCACTAATTTACTTTGTCTCATAGATTTGCCTGTTCTGGACATTTCAAGTGAATGGACTCCTACAATATGTGTCTTTTGTGTCTGGCTTCCCTCACTTAGCATAATGTTTTCACGGTTCATCCATTTTGTAGCAGCTGTCACTACTGTATTCATTTAAGTAGGCTCCACACCCAGCGTGGAGCCTAATGCAGGGCTTGAACTCACGACTTTGAGATCAAGACCTGAGGTAAGATCAAGAGTCAGACACTTAACCGACTGAGCCACCCAGGCACCCCAGTACTGTATTTTTTTTTAATTGCCAAATAATATTCCATTGTATGGATATATCACATTTTGTTTCCTCATTTATCAGTTGACAGACATTTGACTATACTTTTTGGCTATTTTGAATAATGCTGCTGTGAACATTCATATACAAGTTTTGGTGTGGACATACGTTTTCATTTCTCTTGGATGTCTATCTAAGAGTGGAATTGTTGGGTCATATGATAACACTTTGTGGTCTATATATACCATTTTAAAAAAACATTGTAGGGGCACCTGGCTGGCTCAGTCGGTAGAGCATTGCAACTCTTGATCTCGGATTTGTGAGTTCAAGCCCTATGTTGGCTTTAGAGATTACTTAAAAATAAAATTAAAAAAAAATTAAATTGTAATCATGTTGACAAAATTTTATATCCATTTTTTTTCACAAAATGTGCTATGAGGACTTTCCATATTATTACATTGTTTTTACCATTTGGAATGAACCTAATTACTAAACCATAATATGATCATTCTCCTATTATTGGACATTCAGGATATTTCCAAATATTATTTTATAAGTCCAACATGAAATTTTTTTCTATATTTCTATGTTTTCCATATTTAGAATTACTTTATTAGGATAGGTTCCGTTTTTTATTTTTTTTTAAGATTTTATTTATTTATTTGAGAGAGAGAATGAGAGAGAGCATGAGAGGGAGGAGGGTCAGAGGGAGAAGCAGACTCCCCACCGAGCAGGGAGCCCCATGC